TGCCCACAACAACAATCCGGGTCCTCATTTTACCCACCTCGGAAGGATGGAAGGCTGAGTCAACCCTGAGCCGGTGAGATTTGAACAGCCGAACTGCAGGCTACTTCAGCTGACTGCAGTTCTGCATTTAACCACTGTGCCACCTCGGCTCTGTATGAAGTTGTCAGTCTATTGACAATGCAATGCATGGCACTAGGAGTTCAATTTAAATGTAATAGTAAGAATAGTAAAATGAATTTAAAAGGGGAGAATTGAAATTAACATGATATTGTTGTCTAGGTTAGTGAATTATAGTTGCTTCATAAAATCCTGTGACTGTCTTTCGTGCTATTTAATTTTACACATTCCAGTCTTCCTATGGCAGGGGTATCAAATGCAATTTCATTGAGGGCAGCTTATGTTTGACCTCGAGGAGAGGGTGTGGCTAGCGGGCATGGCCAGCTTGACATCACTCGTGTTGGTGCCTGGGGAGGCCTGAGCATTCTGCTAACAAAAATGGATTCCCAAGCTCCGTTTTTGGCTGCGACCGCCTCCTGCAATTCCCTGCCAATGAAAATGCAGCTCAGGAGGGCTGCCTGCGGTCTTCGCATGCTCCGTTTTTGGCTGAAATGACCTCCTGAAACTCTGCCAGTGAAAAGGAGCTGAGGAAATCCATCCACGGCCCTCCCGAGCTCCGTTTTCACTGACAGAGGCACCCCGGGCTGGTCCTTCGCTGTTTCCAGGGCAGCCCCACGGGCCAGGTCTAAGCACCCCATGGGCCAGATCCAGCCCTCGGGCTTTGAGTTTGGCACCCCTGCCTTATGTAGTTGCAATTAAAAAGAAAACAGTTCCTGTTTTGCTTCTTATTGATGGGTTCTGTTTTCCACATGTGATTGAGATCTGTTTTCCATATGTGTTCCCTTGCCTTTTATTGTGTATTAAAAAAGATAAGGGAAAAGAAAAAGGGGAAAAAAGGGGGGGGGAGAACTATAAAGCAATTTGTGGTGTGACCTCAGAAGAGAAAGTTGTAGGATCTGTAGGTGGGGGGGGAGCCCTGCAGTATGTGATCAGCTACAAAAGTTGTTGGCAGAGACAGTCAAAGGGAACCTCTTTGGAGAGAATTAACGAGGGTTAGAAGGGAAGAGGGCTGCTTGGTTACATTTCATTCAATAGCATAATAACATCTACATGAAGCCGCTGGGTGAGATCATACAGCGGCAAGGGATTAACTACCATCAATACGCAGACGATACACAATTGTATCTGTCCGCCCCGTGCCAACTCAGTGAAGCGGTAGAAGTGATGTGCCAGTGCCTGGAGG